GTCCATCCATCCACCTTTCCATTTGTCCATCTATCCACCCACCCATCCATCTTCCCATTCATCCATCCATCCGTCCATCTATCCATCCATCATCTTCCCATCCATTCATCCATCCGTCATCTTCCCATTCATCCATTCACTCATCCATCCATCCATCTTCTCTATCCAACCATCCATTCATCCATGCATCCATCTTTCCATCTGTCCATCCATCCATCTACCTTCCCATCTATCCAACCATCCATCCATTCATCTATCTTTCCATGTGTCCATCTACCCATCCATCTTACCATCCATCCATCCATCCATCATCTTCCCATCCATCCATCCCTCCATCTTCTCATCCATCCATCCATCTATCCATCCATCATCTTCCCATCCATCCATCCATCCGTCATCTTCCCATTCATCCATTCACTCATCCATCCATCCATCCATCTTCCCATCTATCCAACCATCCATCCATCCATTCATCTATCTTTCCATCTGTCCATCCATCTATCCACCCATCCATCTTCCCATCCATCCATCCATCTTCCCATCCATCCATCCATCTTCTCATCCATCCACCCACTCATCCATCCATCCATCCATCCATCCATCCATCCATCCATCCATCCATCTATCTTTTCATCTGTCCATCCATCCATCCACCCATCCATCTTCCCATCCATCCATCAATCATCTTCCCATCCATCCATCCACCCATCCATCTTCTCATTCATCCATCCACTCATCCATCCATCCATCCATCCATCCATCCATCTTCCCATCTATCCAACCATTCACCCATCCATTCATCCATCTTTCCATCTGTCCACGTATATATTAAAGAAATAATAAACACCTGCTGTGTAGCACTCACACAATTGGTGTGGGGGATTCAAGGCAGTGATGTGCTGGGAAATGTTTAACATCTAGCTCTCCAGGGGGAAAACTTCCCAGATATGCAGTGTTTGCCAATTTCTTTAGTATAAATATTCCCAACACGGCTGACTTCAAGCTTCCCAGTTAATTTCAGCCGAATCTCAAAGACTACCATTTTCAGCTGGCCCTGTGGCATGAGGGAGCTTCCATGACACCCGCATTGCCCAGACTGCACCACTTAGGGTGGAAGCTGGGAAGAGCTGTGAGGTCCTGCAGGGTCTTGGTGTGTTCTCTGTCAATACAGGAACCCTTTATGGTGCTGTGGATGAATGGATTTTAATGGGAAAATAGAATCAGACACTTACTCGTATAAACCTCATTGCAACATTTTAGCATCAATCTAATTTCTCTGGCTTATTTCCTCCATTCAGTTCTTTGTTTGACAATTTCATTTTAAACTATATTCCCACTGGCTGCACAGTAAAATCCTTCCAATTTTGTGTCATCTAGAAATAAGAGTTTTTAATTAACCAGGAATTGGTTATATAATTTTTTAAAATGAACAACATTCCTTAGCCAATAAAAGTAAGTATCTTAATTTCCACAAAATATAGAACAAAATACCAACGGTGAAACCCCGTCTCTACTAAAAATAAAAAAAAATTAGCCGGGCGTGGTGGCGGGCGCCTATACTCCCAGCTACTCGGGAGGCTGGGCTGAGGCAGGAGCATGGCGTGAACCTGGGAGGTGGAGCTTGCAGTGAGCTGAGATCGCGCCACTGCACTCCAGGCTGGGCAACAGAGCGAGACTCTTGTCTCAAAAAAAAAAAAAACTTTATTGTCACTAGTTACCTAAATGAAAGCTGTGCCCTGGGGCATGTTTGTGGCAGCAGATCTAGGGCCTGTGGAGAGCTGGTCTTTCCACCAGGCACCCAGTGGGTGGGAAAGAGACAGAAACAGGCAGACCCACAGGTGCCTCTGCCGTGGGGATGGTCTGCACCCGAGGTCCCCAGGAGGTCATGGGTCCATATATGGGTGGAAAGCTGAGCCCAAGGGGCCTGCCCAGCTAGGGTGCTGGGGTGAGAGGGCCTTGTGGCATTGAATTGCAGCCAGGAGACAGCAGGGGCCACCACTGGGCCTCTCAGGGGCCATGACCCAGGGTTGACTGTGCTGTGACCCAGGGGAAGTACAGTGCCTCAGGGGTCTGAAAGGTGGGCAGGGGTCTGGGATAGGGTGGGAGGCCTTTGCCCTGACATGTCCAATGGGGAGGATTTCTCTGATTCAATGAGGAGCTGGAAGAAGAAATAGTCAAATAGCACAAGTGAAAATCCCAAGTATCTGTTTGCAAGAGAAGAGGGTGAAACCAAAAAGCTCGGCAGTAGCTGTGGGCTCAGTCACTCATGCCAGCCACAGCCAGAGGCTCTCCCAGTTTGCCAGCCCTTGGCAGAGGTGGGGCACGTTTTAAAAAATATTTTAATAAGTTACAAATAAAGAAACTACTAGAGTATAAACCTACTGCAGAGTTTTACATTTTCATCGACCTGGCTTGTCCACCACAGCAGGCCTCACAGTTGACTCATCACGCATCCCCTCGCATGCTCAGAGCTGTCAAGGCCCCATACCATCCCAGCGTGCACAGAGCTCAGCGCCAGCCTTCGCCCCTGTACCAGGGACACGTGGGTTAACGCCCCCACCTCCTCTTGCCCTCTGTTTCCTTCCACCCCAGGGCAGAATGCACCCCAGATGTCGGGAGCCCCCTGCCAGGGGCCCACACACTCACCAGGAAGCCCGAGGTGCTGTCCAGCAGGCAGCGCACACGGCAGATGAAGCAGCGGGTCAGGAAGGCTGAGTACTCGGTGGGCGTGCCTGCTCCCCACTCCTGGGCCCTGAGAAGCCTCCCCAGGATGGCGTCATCTCCTGCAGACCATAGTGGCCAAGGGGCGTGGTGGTGGGAGAAGCCAGAACACACAGGTCACACGCACAACTGCACGCGCAGAGCACGCAACAAACACACCCATGGCTCTCATATGCAAGGTCATGTAAACACTATCACCGCGCGCTCCTCCTGCGCCCAGCATCCTTCTAGACGTCGCTCGGACAAATTTTGCCTTCATCATCCCTTGCCTTTAAAAACATCGTTTTTAGTACATGTGCATGCACGACGATGGACCGATGGTTTCATCTTGCTTGTTTTTAGCTTTATAAAAGGGTCTTCCATGTAGGTGCCTGGGCTTTGCTGGTGCCTGGGCTTTGCTGTTTGATTTAAGGTCAACCATACTGTCACATGAGGTGGTGGTGGAAAGTTTTCGTGAATTATTTTAGGCTTCTGTGGATGTGTGCGAGAGAACCCAGGAGTCACCCTCTGCACAGGACCCCAGGCAGGTGTCGCCTCTCCTCAGAGCCCAGATGCAACTGTCCCAGCAGAGCCCCTGCCTGTCATTGCCTGTCAAGGAGCTCCACACCTGCCGGGCTCATCTTACCAGTCAGAGCCACAGGGAGGTTGGGGGCAAGCCCTGTGCAGAGGTCTTCTGTGAAAAGGGGCAACCGACTCTGAGCAGCAACCATCTTTCAGGGACTTTTATCGGATAACTCTAGTATGAAGCAAAGAAACTTCCTGGCAGACATGAGACTTGAGGGGAGTTTGCAAAACAAGAGGCCAGGACTGCAGCTCGTGATGAGGTGACAAGAATGGCGGTGACCTCAAGCCTGGCAGAGCCCAGGCAAGCAACCAGGAGTGAAGCACACTCGAGCCACACGGAGCTGGTGCAGCCCAACCAGAGGACAGTGAGGGACACGGGAGGAGGTCTCTGAAGAAAGGTGAGATTTGGCGCTAAGGTCAATGTGGAAGGCAAAGCACACCAAGAAGGCACGACAGGGTCATTTCCAGAGGCAGTGACGTGTTATGTGACCTGCTCTAGGTTTTGGTGACTCACTTGGACCCCAGACACCCACCTGTCTCCAAGGGCGGGGGCTGCCCAAACACCACCTGGGGAGGGTCCATGGCCCAGTGGAGCTGCCGGCAGAAGTCCTGGCGGTCGTCCACGTGGATGTAGTCGTAAATGTTCTGGTGCATGACGTCTGTCTGAAATAACGCAGCAAGGTTATTTCAGCCTTACCCCAAGTGGCTTTACACACTTTATTCCACTGATGAGTAACCGAAAAACTTCCACTCCACTTGTCAAAGCAAGTCACAGCCACAGGGAAAGAATCCCACAGAAAAGACGGCGCTTGACCCCGGGCCCCCGCTCCCTCCTGGGAAGACGCCTGTCTGAGTTGCCTGGAGCACCTGCCCATCCGTCTGCCCACCAAGTGGTGCCCACATCCAGCCTTTGAGGGCAAGCAGGAGGCTAAGATATGGGCATCTTCTGGGCCACAGACACTGTGGGGCCAAGACATCCACTTTCCTGTCGACTTAGACTCTTTGTGACTCCGTTTCCCATCACTTCACATCTTATGGCTGGTGATTTCCTCCTTCCTGACACCCAGGCCTCAACCTTCACCCACTTTCACGAAGTCTCAAGGACCAGTTCACAGGCCTCTCTCTAGTCCGCTCTCCTTCCACCCGCTCAGAAGCAAATCTGGGCCTTGACATAGAGGCTGACCCTCACAGGCACCCAGGGTCCATGTCCGGCGACAGAGGCTGACACTGTGTGCCACGAAGACTGACTTCAAGGGGGACCCAACTGTCACCACTGCCCGTGAGCGTGTCTGCGCCTGAGGAAGGCCAGCCATCCCACTGCCCTCTCCCTTCTCCTAACTGAAGAAAGTCAGGCATCTGCACCTGCAGCCTGGCCCGCACACTCCCGCCCCGCCCCCGAATAATTAAGCCTGCCAGGGGCTGCTAGAACCTCAGGACTCTTTCAGGGTGACCTAACTCTAAGTGGCATTTGTTATCATGATAATAACCAAGCGGTTCTTCCTAACTGGAGGGGAAGCTCCTTAAGAATCAAGACTTCAGAGGAACATAATAAACTCACCCTAAAGGGACGAGCATCTTCAGGCAACCCAGTGGGAAGGACCCGCGGGGCTCCCGGAACAAGACAAGACACAGCCTCAGGAGGGCAGGGGGAGGCCCTCACTCAAGGGCCTGGACTCCAACCGCCTGTGCCTCCGCAGTTCCCTTCTGAGAATGCGCTGTCACGGCGAGCGCCGTATAGAGGAACAGAGACCCCTCGGGGTGAACCGGGCTGCGCCAGCCTCCCCCCAGCGCACTCCTCCGGGCTCTGCCATCATACAGAGGAACAGAGACCCCTCCAGGTGAAACGGGCCGCGCCAGCTTCCCCCCGCCCCCCCCCCACCCCGTGTACTCCTCGGGGCTGCCTTCAGGGCCTTCCTAGGACTCTAACTGGAGGGTAACCTCGGCCAACAAGCGCCCAATCACGAACACACAGTTGGGTGAGTCACCTTCAAGAAAACACCCCGCGGGACCCCACCCAGATGAGGCCACAGGGCGGCGCCGGCACCCGCAAGGCTGTTTCTGCCTCTGAGTCGGCGCCCTCCATGTGGGGGCTGGTTCTGCGCTGCGGACTCCACGTGGAGGGAGGGTACCCGCCAGCATCCCCCTGCCCGGCATCGGCATCGCGACCGTGAGG